TGGCAGGGCAGCCAGCGGCACAGAGCCCGCGGGCAGGGTGTGAGCTGTGGGCACGCCGGCTGAGCAAGCACCGCGTTGGGGGATTCCTAGGCTGAGTTCTGTTAACGCCATGAACTCTGGTGCCTAATGGGCACTCGGGCATCTGGGATCCAGACTGGCCCCTTGCCATCCCGGGAGAGGAGAGATCCAGCCTGAGCGGGCGGATGGACGTCACAGCTGGGTGTTGCTCACGGAACGCAGGCAGGAAAAGGCCCTTTCAGGGATCCAGCAGGGATGGGCTGGGAAGGGTCCTGGCTGCGTTAGCTGGCTCCCCTCGGCAGTACCCACTGCTGGCAGGGCAGGAGCCGCTGGTTCGTCCTGAGCTCTGTCCCTGTCTGCTCAACAGCCGTAGCTGCCTGGCTGGGCACTGAGCCACGGCGAGTCTCTGGGGAAGCAGTTTCTCTCCTGGCTCATCTCCAGCTGCAGTTCTCCTGGGGCTTCCTGCCTGTCTCCTGGGTGAGGCAGCTCCATGCCACACCCTTCCTGGCATGGTGCGCTGGCATCAGGATGCCCAGCTCCATCCCCCTCCCTCAATCAGGTCCCCCATGGGACTCGACTCCACCCCTCTGAGAGGGAAGGGAAGGGGTGTCCCCTCCTGCTCCCCATGACCCTTCTGGCAGCGTGGGACCCCGCACTCCTCCCTACCCAGGGGTCCCACAGCCCCACGGCAGCGCCTGCCTTCCAGCTCCTGTCGGGTGTGACACAGCAGAGCTGCCCGTGGCCAGATGCTGCAGCCCCCGCCAGCGACGAAGGGGAATGTGCTGCTCTCCCCCACAAAGCCGGTAGCGGGACTGGAACCTGCACCTGGCCCTGCCCTGGGTCCCAGCTGAGTGTGGGGCTCCCTGGGCAGCTGGCCTGCTGAGTCCCGGTGTCTGACCCAGGCTGCTTTCCCCACAGGGCATCCTGGAGAACATCCAGCGCAACAAGCTCATCTTCATCGAGACGCAGGACGGGGCCGAGACCAGCATGGCGCTGGAAAAGTACCAGGAGGTGGGCACTGTGCCAGCACCCGCCCAGTCCCGGTGCTGGGGAAGGGAGGGGCTGGCCCCTGCAGGTCAGGCGAGGGGCATGAGGCTGCAGGTCGGGATGGAGCGGAGCTGCCTGGCAATAGGGAGCCGACTCCTCGGGCCGGCTGGTTACGGCAGTGCGGCTCTGCTGCAGCACCCGTGCTGGCTGAGCCCTGCCCTGCTGCCTAGGGAGGGCCAGGGTGCTCCCCCGGTGACAGTTCTCCATCATCTCCCGAGCGCCTGAACCCCTCAGGCTCCCGCTGGGCTGGAACGCGGCAGCTGGATTGCGCCGTGTCCCAGCGGGGGCGGATGGAGACTCCTGGGTTGAAACTGGCTCGTGCCCGCTCCTGACTCAGCCCTAGCTCTCCCCAGCGCACACCTAGCGCCGGCCTCTCCTGCGCAGCACTGGCTGGGCCCAGGTGCGGGGCGGGGGGACGGTCCTAGCTTGGCGTGACCCCTCTTTGCACACAGGCCTGCGAGAACGGGCGGGGAGCCATCCTGCTGTCTGTGGCCAGGGGAAAGGTGTCCGAAGGCATCGACTTTGGTGAGTTTGCTTGCTGGGGAGTGCCAGGGAGCTGCTGTTTGGGGGTGCAGGACCGTCTCAGCTCCCTCGACCCGGTGGGTAACGCTGACCTGCTCCCAGCCATGGCCCAGCGGGGTGCCGGGGCAGAGCATGGTGCCCTTGGGCCTGTCCTTTCTCTGGCTGGCAATAGCTTGGGCTCGGTTTGTGGCACCGGCCTGGGGCCCTGCCGGGGTGGCGTGAGGCAGGGTGGCAGCCTGACCTGTGATCTGCCCCTGCAGTGCACCACTACGGGCGAGCTGTGATCATGTTCGGCGTACCCTATGTCTACACCCAGAGCCGCATCCTCAAGGTGAGCTGGCACACTGTGCCCTGCGGGGCTGGGGCCCAGTGCACTGCGGGGGAGGGGCGCAGTGGGGATCAGCCTAAGGG